TGGAACGGGCTTCTGCGGCAGAAAGCGGAGTTCATCCCACAGCTGGAGTCAGAGGACGACACCAGCTACTTCGACAGTGAGGCCGCCTCTGTCCCCTTGTCCCTGTCATCTTTTGTCCCCACTGCAGGAAGGATGCTGGAGCAGGAGATGAAAATCTCCTGGGTGAAGTTGGGCATTTTCTGCCCTGAGCTAAGTCACAAAAACAGATGTAATTCTGTTTCCAGACTGCTCAGCCTTAATGAAAGTATTGCTTTCTCATCCCAAAACATTTGTGGGTTCAGGACTGGGCTGTCAGCCACGACACACCTCCACGTCCTGTCCCCTCACCACTGGGGCTTTTGCTTTCAGCTCGATCCGAGAGGTACCGGCACTTGGATTCGGAAGACGAAGAGACCAACGATGAGGAATCATCTGTGGAGATTGGCCAGTTCTCCTCCTGCTCCCACCGCTTCAGCAAGGTGCTTGGATCTGTCCCCTAAGACCCAGGTGACAAGATGCCACAGCCCCCCTGCTGCTGCTCCATTCCAACCACTCCCCTGTTCCCCAGGTGTACAGCAGCTCCGAGTACCTGGCCACGCACTCCAACCTCAGCCTCTCATCCTCTGACCGGAGCCACAGCGAGGACAAGGAGGACAGGGCAGAGCGGTGGGACCGCCACTCGGGTGACGAGGACAAGAACCGGCCATCGGGCGCAGAGCCCCGGTGAGTGGTGAGACAGGGACTAACGTGAGCTGCTGTTGGTGAGATGTGTGCAGGGCTGCAGGAGGATCCAGCACCACCTCCTTGCCCATGCGTGGGTGCCCTGAGCCCTCTGGCTCCTTCCTGCAGGCTGCGGTCCTGGACATCCTGCAGCTCCACACCGTACACTGCCCAGCACGAGCGCAGCCGCAGCCCTGCTGCCCTGACCAGCACCTACAGCCTGGACACCATGCCCAAGTTTGCCTTCTCCTCAGAAGATGAAAGCCCTTGTGTGGCCTCAGCCAAGCCGGAGCGACCCAAATTTGTGCTGGGAGACCCTGACTCTGGAGTGAAGACCTCATCGCTCTCTGGTGTGCAGGTTTTGGGGGCAGCCAGGTTTCCTAACAGTGTGAGGTGTTTTCTCCATGCCTTCCTGCACCCTAGAGAAGGTCCAAAGGGCCACCGCCGTCCTTGGCCACTTCAGCTCCCTGTTCCTCCTCCCTTTGTGCAGCTGATCTCGTCAGTCTGAACCGCATCCGCCTGCGGAGCAACAGCACGGGCACCAAGAACTCAGCTCCACGAGGCTTGGAGCCAGGCAGCAGCCGCCGGCTGAGCAGCCAGAGGGATGGCGTGGAGAAGCCAAGAGCTTCACCGGGCAGCCGAGTGCCCAAATCCGCTTCTGTCTCAGCCTTGTCCCTCATCATCACATCAGGTTTGTGGTAGCCATCTATGGTCAGGGTGGCTGCTGTGTGGCTTCCCTGGGACAAGCCATCTCGTTCTTTCTCCTTGCAGATGACTTCAGCAGCGGGGCCCTCATGAGCCCCATCTCCCCTCACTCGCTTTCATCCAACCCCTCTTCCCGCGACTCGTCCCCGAGCCGGGATTCCTCCCTGGCCATCACCAGCCTGAGGCCCCCCATCATCATCCACAGCTCAGGCAAGAAGTACGGCTTCACGCTGCGTGCCATTCGCGTGTACATGGGGGACAGTGACGTCTACACTGTGCACCACATGGTCTGGGTAAGTGGCCCAGGGACTGGTGACATTGTTGGGACACAAGGGTGGGAGGTACGGGCTGTGTCCAAACAAAACCCCGGCCGTTCCCTTCCAGAGCGTGGAAGAAGGGAGCCCTGCACAGGAAGCAGGGCTGAGAGCGGGTGATCTCATCACACACGTGAATGGGGAGTCAGTGCTGGGCCTGGTGCACCGGGACGTCGTGGAGCTGCTGCTGAAGGTAGGTGCTTGCCCTGCTGCGATGCGCTTGGGACCTGCATGCAGCTGTTGAAACTGGTGCATCAAGCACAAGCGGCAGGTTGTTCAGTGGTGCCTGAGTGCAGCATGCCCACTGAGCCCTTTTCTGTCCTCAGAGCGGCAATAAGGTCGCTCTGCGGACCACCGCCCTGGAGAACACCTCCATTAAAATTGGCCCTGCCCGGAAAAACAGCTCCAAGACAAGGATGGCCCGAAGGAGCAAGAAGAGCAGGAAAAGGGACAGCCAGGACAGGTGGGCAGAAACAGGGGGATAAAATGGCACGTGTGTCCTGGATGTCCTGAAGCAGGAATGCAACAGGAAGGGGCGGCTGCTCTTGTTCTGCAGTACCACAGGGTCTGGTGGCATCCAACGTGGGACTGCTGGCATCGGTGGCTCCAAGCAGTGTCCCTGCCTGTTGCTGCTGTTTGTGACCAATCTTCCCACGTGTTTTCTTCCCTCCCAAGGAGGAAATCCCTTTTCAAGAAGATCTCCAAGCAGTCAACGGTCCTGCACACCAGCCGCAGCTTCTCCTCCGGCCTCCACCACTCACTGTCATCGAGTGAGAGTCTCCCAGAGTCCCCTACGCACAGCCTGTCACCAGGTCCCACGACGCCCTGCCGCAGCCCTGCTCCAGACCTGCCCCCAGGTACTGTGGCCACCACACTTGGGCTCGGGGCCGGTGACATCCCCGGTAGTGACTCCTCTCTCTCTCGTTTTTGTGGCAGATGCGGTGTCCCCACAGAGCACCTCTCCCTCCTCCAGCACCCCCACGTCTCCAGCTGGCCACGTGCGGCCCAGCACCCTGCACGGGCTGGCCCCCAAGCTGGGTGGTCAGCGCTACAAGGTGGGACGCCGCAAGTCCACCAGCAGCATCCCGCCCTCACCCCTGGCCTGCACACCTACCTGTGCCCCGCGACCCACGTCCCCACAGAGATCCCCATCCCCGCTGCTGCCCGGACACCCCAAAACCACCCATCCCTTCCAAGGCAAGACGCTGTCCCCCCCCCACCATTGTGCGGCAGGGGCCGCGGCCACGCAGCGCCGAGTGCCCCCGCTCACCCCTCCTCAAGCGCGTGCAGTCAGCAGAGAAGATGGCAACCTACCTGGCGGAGAAGAAGAGCGTGGGCAGCCGCAAGCTGGGACCGGAGATGCCTGCACGGGATGGGACTGGGGAGGTGTTTGGGGAGGGCGAAGCGCCCGGCTCGGTGCACTGCGGGGAGCACGGCCATATGGCAGCCTGGAGGCAGGGAGAGCAGGAGATGGTGGTGATGCGGCGCCTGAACCTCTCTGAGCGCCGCGACTCCTTCAAGAAGCAGGAGGCTGTACAAGAAGTCAGCTTCGATGAGCCGGGCAGTGAGGACGGTGCCAAGAGCGACACAGGGCAGGGCCAGGGCTGCGTGGAGCCCAGGGTCGGCCGGGTGCCGCAGATCGCAGTGCAGGGCTCAGAGGGCGACGAGCAGGAGCCGGTGGGCTGGCAGTGCCAGGGCTCCTACCCGCTGCACCTGCTGGGCACCGATGGCACTGCTGGCATCGCTGTGCCGTGGCGGGACGGCCGCCGGCAGCACCGGACCTGTGGGGACAGGGCCCCCCCCGGGGCTGTCAGCACGGGACATCCCCTAAAAGCCAGCCTGGGCACAAGTGGCTCCGTGGGATTTAACGCACTGCGACCTGGAGGTGTGACTTCCGTGCTCCCGGAGAGATGCTCACGTTTTTGCAGTGGTGTTCCCCTGGTGAGGCCCACGCTGAAAAGAAAGGACTCGATGCAAATACTCTGAACTACTCCAAACTAATTTATTACTTTTATAAGCTAAAAGGCATTGCAGGGTCCGAGCCATCCCAGCCTTTTCTGTGCATTTCCCAGCTCCTGTCCCAATGGCACGATGTTTTCTAACCAGCTTTTTTCCACATTTGCTCACTTTCAGCTGGAAAAGCACCCAAAAGGGTGTTATAAGGCGGTTTTCTGGATCGCACTGAAGCTGAGGGTTCCCCTCTGTAGACAGGGGGTTGGACTACATGATCTCAGTGGTCTTTTCCAACCTTTATGATTCTATGATTTGCATTCAGGATCGCCTCCGTCCCCATAAATCCCCCTGGTGCCTCCCTACTCTGGAGCAAAATGCTCCAAACCCCAGCATCCCGGTGGGCAACACGGCAGGGCCACACGCTTTGTTTTATTAACATGCAGAGGATGGAGAGGTTTAAATTTTTTTAATTATGATTCCTTCTGAGAAAGACCCAAACCACTGAGCCCACTCTATTGGTGTTCCCGAGTGGGATTGGGCTGGGGAGGAGAAGCTCACCCAGCCCCACCATGCTGGGGGCTCAGCAATGTAACACAAATAATGGCATTTTTAGGTTTACTTTTCAATCAGCTGTGATGTATCTTTGGGCATGCGCAGGTGCATTTTGTGAAAAACCACTATTTCCTTTTTTTTTTTTTAAACAAAAACCCCACACCAACCCCCCCAGTTCTTCCATCAACCACCAAACCCCACAAACCCCGTTCCTGGCAGGATTCTGGCGGTTCATTTCTGACTGGATTTGCTGGGCCCGTTCCCGACTGGATTCTCAGCACACGTGAGGCCTTTCTCACAGCATTCCCGCTCATTTTACCTCACGGTGCTCTGCTTTGGCTTCGCAAAGGGTTTTTTAACAGAAAAAGCGGTGAAAGCAAACAGGGCCTTGCCTTGGGAAGGGCCAAGCACCGGCCTTGCTGTTAGCATTGCGGAGTTTTACGCGGCATTAAATTGTTCCTTGGGACTTGTTGTGGCCTGCGGCCTTCTGCAGAAGTGGCTGGGGCCGGGCGGGGGCTGGAGGAGGGCGAGGGGCTGCGATCCTCGCGCAGGGCCCTCATAGCGCCCAGGGTCCACACGGCGCCTGGCGCCCCGTGCCCGCTTCCCCCTCCCGCCGCCAGGTGGCGGCACAGCGCTCTCCCTCACGGCCGCTCTGCCCCACGCCGCCGCGCGGCGGTTGGCGCCGGTTAGCGGTCGGCTCTTTCCGGAACTATTCGGCCGCGGGGGCGGGATCCCGATTGCAGCCGGCAGAGAGGGGGAAGGGGCGTGGCCAGCGAGCGTTCGGGGAGGTTCGTTCTTCTCCGACAGCTGTCGGGTCTTTCCGGGGCGGGTTCGGGCCGTTCCGGCGGCGTTCGGGCCTTTTCCCAGGCTGCCTCCGGGCCGGAAAGAAGGAACGGGCTGAAGGCGAGCGGCGGCGGATGGAGGCGGCGGGGAGGTGAGCGGGGCGCGGGGCCGGGGCTCTGCGAGCGCGGGCAGCCCCGGGGCCGGCGGCGCGGGTGGGGGGCGGCAGCAGCAGCAGCAGCAGCAACAGCTGACGGGCCCCGGCCCTGATCTCGGCCCGGCTCTCCGCCGCGGCACCGCGTCCCGGTCTCGCTGCCGTCCCCGCAGCCCCGCGCTGCCCCGTGCGGCCGGGCCGCTCCCGGAGCTCCACGTGCCGGCCGGCCCTCGTCGCCCGCGGGGCGGCGTCCCGGGCTGCGGCGCGGAGAGAAACGGGGAATGAAGCCGGGGGTCCGGGCTGTGCGAGCGCCGCGGAACGGCCGCCCGTCCTCCGCCTTTTATCTCCGGAGCGGTGGAACCGCGGCTGTGAGAGCAGAGAATGGAGACAGCTGAGCAAACACAGCCCCGAACGTCGCCTTCCCGGCCCGTCCCCCGCCCTGCCGGCTGCCCTCCGCTCCGCTCCCTGCCCCGTCCTTTACGCGGGGCGGCCCGGGTTCTTGGTTTCCTTCCCTGATTTCCGAGCGTGTGACTCGGATCTGCCCCGCGCTTCGTGGCACAGCGCCGACTGCCGCGCTGCGGGTCTCCCGCTGCTGATCGCAGCCCCCAAAAGCTCCTTTTTACCTCGTGGTTCCTCTAAGAACGTGGAAAAATCGCTTCTGCGTGCAGTTGGTTCTCACTGGACGAAAGTTCTGTGCTGGTTGGGAGAGAAACCGCAGCTCAGAGGAATGCAGCGGGGAACGGAGCCAGGCTGGAGCGGCGGAGCGCTGCTGTGTTTACAATAAAAAGCTGTATTTATAATATCGGGGGCTCTCTTAATTCCTCTGAGAGTATCTGCAGCCACAGCCTGGCGCTGAAGCGGCTGAGTAATGGAAGATGGAGAGCAAACGGAGGAAGGGACGGTGCGGCTTGGGCTGGAAGGTTGTGCAGCTCTTGCCGTATCCTCGTAGGGTTGCATGCATCTCACCTTGTAGGTTATTCGTGCTGTTGCTGTGCCGTGTTGAGCTTCTAACAAACTGTCATGGATTCCTGACGCTGCACAAAAGTGATTTTAAGCAGATGGGTCAGCAGAAGCGGGGTGTCGTTTCTTTGTGCTCTTTGCTTTTTTAGAACTGTGACTTTTCTTAAGGGAATAACCACTGCTGGGTTTGCTGCTGGGGAAAAAAAAACCCAACTCTGAGCTCTTCCCTGTGCTTCCAAAATGGAAATCGGGTGTTTGTGGGGACGTGGCAGGGGACATGAAGCGAAGAGCCCCAGTGCGTGGAGTTGTGCTCTGTGAGTGGGACACTGCTGCTCTGTTGGCAGCTGCGACAGAAGCATTTCTTGGTGAGGAAAGAGGTGAAAATGGGCTTGGCTGCCCTGTGCCACGCTGTTTTTAGCAGATGGAAGGTTTGTTCTCATGGTTTGTAACCTGCTAACATGTGGGCTTTCGTGCAGTTCAGAACTTGATCTGGTTTTGGTTTTCTCGCCTTTTTTCTTCTCCTTTTTTCCCCCTCACTGAGGATCTGATGGAGACATTGGAGCTGTGTAAGCTGTCATAAACACTTTTTTTAGAATATTTTTACGCATACTTCTGCCTCGCTGGAGGGAAAGCAATGCTCTGCCTCACTTCAAGCCAAGCTGCCCTTTGAACCGCATTTGGAACTTGGTTAAAAAGCTCAGGAACCGCATTTCATAAAAGCTAAGATGCTTTTATTTATGTGCTGGGCACGCAGAAAAAAGGCTCGTAATGTGTTTTTTGTTTCAGACTGGTGTATTAAACAAAGAAAGTATTGACAGCGGCTAATGAATCGTGGGATTGTTTCTGGGCACTGAGATAGATTTACCAAGGTATTTAGATGTCTAATGCATGGGATTTTCAGAGGAGCTCGACAAGTGCTCGCCAGCACAGACACACGAGGCTCCTTCCCCGTGAGCGGAGCTGGAGACGGGCCCAGCAGAAATGTGCTGGCAAGCTGCTGGCTCTCCTGGCGCACGCAGAGCCCCGCTTTGGAGGCGCTGGCAGCAGGCAGGCTCGTGCGTGTCCCGCGCTCTCGGCACCGCCTGCCCCTTCCCGGCTTCTCCTTCCCTCCAAATATCTATTTAAGGGCTGTGGAAGGGCTGCGTTCCCTCCCTCTCTCCCCACACACGCACTGATCTCCTGCTCTGTACAGAGGTTCCCCAGGCAGTGGTCCTGCACGGCTCAGCCGCCCGCTGGTGGCTCCTGGAGGAGGGGCGGCGAGGCTCCCTGCCAGCATGGACTGAGTGCAGGGAAGGCAGGTGAGGCGCGAGGCCGGCCTGGCTCCAATGCCGTAATTATCTGCGTGCCAGGCGCCCCGCTGGGGCGTGGAGAGCAGGGCAGCGTGGAGGCAGGGCTCTGCTTTCCCACCGGGGTCTGTCAGCGCTGAGAGCTGCTGCAGCAGCTGAGCTCCTTGCCTTGTGCAAGAGCAGGCGCCGGGCTGCACGGAGCCAGAAGCTGTGGGACCTGCTCCTGGGAGACTCGGAGCTCCGGAGCCTCTTCCCACCCCACCGTGCAGCTCTGCTCTTAAAAGCTACTGAACGAGTTTGCCAGGGCTGAGCGTTTTTTGTCCTCCCAGCCTCAGTGGCCGCACGGGCTGGTTGGAAGCACCTGGCTTTTGGGCTGGGATCTGCGCCTGGGTGCTGGGCAGCCGCTGCGTTCAGGCTCTGTCCCCTGCGGGCTGGTGGCTCCTCTCCATCAGACCCAGCAGGCAGAGTTCAGAGGGGCGAGGGGCAGGCGTCCCAGCGTGGCCATAAATCTCTCTTAATGCTCTGGGTTATGAAGTAATATTTTCCTGGCTGGGACTGCTTGGATTCAGGAAATGTGCGTTCTGCTGTGAGCGTTGTGTGGCTACTGTGCTGGGCTGTGCTGCCTTGCCTGCAAGCACCCCGCATCCCGAGGGCCTCTTGGGGAGCTGTGCAGCCTCGTGTTGCACTTAAAGCCGTGGAGAAGCTCTCCAGTGACCTGGATCAGGCTCAGTCCTGTTCTGCACCAGCTGGAGCCTCCCTGCGAGCGTCCGGCCTCCCTGAGGGTTCTCTGCTCATTCATGGAGGAGGCAGCCCAGCTGGGATATCTGCCCAGACTCAAGCAGCCTGTACAGGCTCTGGCTCCTGCACAGGTTTTGTGCTCTGCAGCTTCTTTGTGCCTTTCTTTGTCAAGGGAATGAGCGAGCTTTGCAGGGCGGTGCTGGGAGCTGCGGGGCTGCAGAGCTGGGGGTGCAGCCAGCTTCAGGGGGGGCTCGTGCCATCTCTTCAACCCTCTGCTAGCACGCAGATGTGGTAGGAAAGGGGGCTTGTAGCTGCATGTAGCTGGCCTGGGAGGGTTGTTTCAAGTTGCTGCAGATCACGGATGTTAATGCCTCTTGCTGAGCCCAGCATGAGGTCGGAGCTGCTTTGGCTTTGGTTGGCGGAGCGTTCGTCCTGCTGGGAAGGGTGCTGGGGTCACCCGGTGCAGGCAGAAGGCTGTGCTGCTGCCTCGGGGAGCTCCGAGCTCTGATGGCTTTCGGATGAGGTGTGGGTTTCTGGGCCAGAACAGCCCAGGCTGCTGACAGGACCTGCAGCCATCCAGCAGGCCAACGGCATCGCTAGGACCAGCATGTTCCCAGCTGCCCCCGCAGGCTGTGCCTCACAGGGCCGATCCTCAGCACCACGGCTCTGCCTGAGGGAGGTGGAAATGGCAGGGAGGGATGGGAAAGGAGGCCGTGCAGGGAATGCCCCGGCTCACACAGCCCTTACCCAGCGTGTGACTGCCCACGTTTGTTCTTTTGGGTGGCTTTCTGGGCTGGGCAGGCGGCCTGTTCTTCAGTTTCTCCGTGCTTGAATAGCTTACAGGCGGTGAGCGGCTCTAAGCAGATTTGAAGGCTTCTGAAGACACTTTTATTTTTAACCTCTCGCTTCCATCTGTGAAGAAACTGTGCCTGCGTTGCCTACGCTTCGTGCTGCTGCTTTTAAATAAAAGTTCAAAAATTCACTTTGCTCAAAGCAAAGCTTTGAAGTGCTGCTCTGTGGGAATGGCGCAGCGTCTTGAAAGCCTTCAACTGAAAGCTGTGTTAACCTACATTTGTGGGCAGTTACCTTCAGAAAACGACTTTGTGGGGAATTGCATGGGGAGATGTAAAGGTGAACTGTGAAATTTAATCAATTTAGCAAGAAAAGGTTAAATCTGTTTGTTTTGCTCCTATTCAGGGCCTCCAGCTGGTGGTTGCAGGGTCACCCTTTTCTGTACGCAAAAGTTCCTGCATAAAGGCTGTTTTGTCCCACTCGTTGTCCTCTTGTTTGCATGAGTGCTATGAAGAGAGCGAGCTGGAGAAACAGAAGTGATCCTCTTTAAGATGCAGAGCCAGTGCCTGGCTGTGGCAGAGGGGAGGTGTTCGCTCTGCAGAGCATTCCTGCGAGCAGCCGCTGGCTCCTCTCGTGCTTTTCTGAGTGTAAATTGCTCTTAGCGTGTCCTGGCAGAGAGCGCTTGGATCCAGGGCTTGCAGCGAGCCTCGTTAGGAGAGAAGCGAGCCCTGCCTCGCTTGGATGATCCCTGCTTTGAATGCTGGCTCCTGGGAGGGCGCGGGGTGCCTGGCGGTGCGGTGACGAGCCTTCTTCTCTTTCACTGCAGGCTCTGGGTCTGGAGGAGCAGCATGCCACGCGGCTCCTGGCTGGAAACGCTCCGTGCTTTTGCCCTGCGGACTCCAGGAAACCTTCTTTTTTGGTGAACTGAACCCTGCCCTCCTTTTTTCTTTGCTGCATGCCCACTCACGAGTGCTGGATTATGTTTGTCTCCTTCTCCCTTTGCTCCATAATTTGGCTGAACCGCGGTTTCAAGCTGAGGAAAAGGGGCTGCACCTAAGCAAGCCGGGGCACTGGGACCAGGCTCCCGAGGTGCTGGTTTGTGCAGAGACGTTCAGACTGCTGATGGGGGAGAGCTGCCCCTGAGGTCTCTCCTCTCCCGCCCAAAGGACGCTGCCTCACTGTTCGGAGCCGTCTCCTCATGGCAGAGAGAATGGGCAGCACCGACGGGTTCCAGTACCGTGCGCTCTATCCGTACCGCAAGGAGCGCGAGGAGGACATTGACCTGGTGCCTGGGGACATCCTGGTGGTGAGCAAGGGAGCCCTGCAAGCCTTGGGCTTCAAAGATGGGGACGAGCAGAACCCCAACCAGATCGGGTGGATCCTGGGTGTCAATGAGAGGACCAAGCAGAAGGGCGACTTCCCCGGCACGTACGTGGAGTATGTGGGGCCTGTGAAGATCTCCGTCCCTTCACACCGGCCCCGAGTGCAGAGACCCCTGCCTGCAACACCAGGAGCCAGTGGCTGCCGACTGCAGGAGGCTCTTGAGCAAGGTAAGCATCACTGCAGGCCCCTTCTGCTGCTCGGCAGATCCCTGCCAGGTGTTGAGTTGTGCAGGATTTGTGGGCTCACGCTCGGTTCTGTCCAAAAGCAAAGTGCTGTGTTCTTTGGGTGTGTTGATCTGTGTTCATGCTTTGCAGTGCTTCTTGGAACAAGCCTTGTTCCTCTCTAACCTCTCAGAGATCTTTCCCTGGCCCATGACCGGCTGGATCCCCGTGGTTCCTCTCCCTACTTTGCTGAGGGTTCTACCCAGCTCCTTCCTTCACAGAGCAAGTCCTGACCTCTCCTGCCTGCCTCCTGAGCACCTGGCACATCACTCCTTGCCAAGAGCTGCTCAGCCCCGCTGAGATGCAGTTACTTGTCTCTGGGCAAGAGGAAAAAAATCTGGGTCTAAAAGAGAACTTCCAAGAACTGCAGCTAATTTTCATCTTCCTGGCACCCGTCTGTATCTGTGCGTGGCAGAGCCAGGACTGAGCAGGGCATGAGCACCACACACCTGGGGCAGGAACTGGGCTTGGCACGGCTTCAGCAGAGGAGCTACCAGCCTCGGTGCTGCCCACAGAGCTGGGAGCTACAGCTGTCCTGTCAGATGCTGTATGAAACCTCTCAGAGGCCCTAAGGAGCAGAAAGGAGCCCCTGTGTGACAGCGTGACGGCGGGGCTGGGTGTGCTGTTCCCAAACCCAGCATCACGGCCCTGGGGATCCCACGGTCTCTGCAGGGTGCAGACATGGCTGGGCCAGGCGCTGGGACTGGCAGCAGGAGCCACCAACTTGCGTCACCCCCCTTCCAGGGATTGGCTCCTCGTGGGAGCCCGGGGCACGCTCTGCAGTGCATGTGTTGGCCTTGCCTGCACCCAGCCCTGCACGCCCTCGAGGGCTGTACTTGTGCCTTTGTGGGCTCTCTCATGCTCCTGGAGCTTGGCTTGGCAGAGCTGTGTGTGGGTGGTCAAAGCCTCTGCCCTGTGCAAGGTTGGGGGTGGAGAGCTGTGTGATGTGGAAAAGGATTTGTGCTGACGTTCCTGACCCATGGAAAAGAAACCAAAAGCCAGCCGGTTTGCTTCCTGCCCTAGGATAAGCAGCATGAAGGCAGGGAACGCAGTGCACCGGGTGCCAGCTGTGCCCTGTCCCTTATGGGGGGACCCCACAGCCACCCCAGCCCCGTGCACACAACCTGTGGGACAGCAGTTCAAATGCCTGAGGCCACTTTGCACGCAGCACGTTGTGTTGCTGGGGGAAGGCGCATTTTTGCAACAGAGAAATTGTATTCGAGCCAAGGCTGTGTTATTTCTTTGTGGCCTGTGCTTGGATGAGGCCTGCTTGGGAGGTGCAGAGCTATCTGTTGGCTGCCCGCTCAGCTCAGTGCTGGCTGTATTTCTGCTTCCTGGGTCTGCCCTGACGTGGCAGTCCCTTGTCCCCCTGTCACGCAGAGCGTGCCCGTACCGCAGCCTGGGAGGAAGGGGCCCCGGCAGAGGCAGCCCTGCAGGGCAGCGAGCCCCGGTGCTTTCCGAGGCTGAATTTATGAGCTTCTGGTGTTTGCCTTCTGCAGGGAGCGTGAGCGGAAAATGCGGCTTGGAAATATTTCCGCAGCTGCCCGGCTGTGCTGTGAGTGCCCTTGTTCACTTTGGCCCAGCCCAGGGGCCTGGCGGGCTCGGGAGCTGCTGCTGGCTGCAGCGTGGCTGCTGGATCCCAGCGCAGGCTGCTGCCTGCTGAAACAGCACATTCCCAACTGGACCACGTGGGGAGCACAGCGTTTGCCCTCCCTTCAGCCCTTCCCAAGGGTCAGGGCTGGAGCTGCCAGCCCTGTGCTCCTCGTCCAGCTGCGGTGAGGACCTGGCCTCACCCTGGGGAACGCCGTGCTGAGCCCCATCTTGTGCCCAGCCAAGGGCATGGGCAGCTCTTGGAGCAGCCTTGTTCTGCCTTGGGATCATCATCAGCAGGCTGGGCCCTTCCTGAGCTGCTTCCTCCTCTGTGGTCGTTGTCTTGAAGCACAGCCCTGCGCTGTTTCATCCCTCACTGTGGCAGTGGGGGCAGGAGGTTCACTGGGTGCTAACTAACTTGCAGCTTGTGGTGGGACCGCGCTGGGTGCACGGGCAAGCTCAGGTCAGATCCGTGACAGCAGGGCTGTGTTTTGCAATGCAGTGCTGCCTTTTGGTTCTGCTCCCATGAAGCAGAGTGTGCTGGGTGTCCTCGTGGACCACTGATGTCCTTTTGCTGGGGACTGACTGGCCTGGAGGAGCCTCCTGCCTGGCTGGCACTCAGCAGGGAGCAGGGATGAGCCTGACTCTGCTCATCCTCCTGCTGGCAGCTGGGCGTGCACCCTCCTGCCCTGGTATGCGTCACACTCGGCATGGGGAAGCATGCCTGGGGCCCTGCTGTGCTGGCCCTGAAGCCATCTCACTGCAGCACATAGGCTGTGCTTTGGCAGCACCACTGCCCTGCCCCGTGATCACACTGCAGCTCCCAGCTCCATCTTCAGCTTCCCAAAAGGCACCTCGGGGCAGCTGCCCTGTATCGCAGCGCATCGCAGCCCTTCCCACGCTGCTGTGACCCTGTTACAGATCCAGAGATGGCACCGAAGTGCTGTTTGATGCTCGGCCGTGCCTGTGGTCAACGTGGGGAGGGTCTGGGAGCACGCAGGGCAGTGAGGGCTCCTGGGACACGTGGTGTGGAGCAGCCGGCTGTGCTGCCCTGACCGGTCGGTGCGGGCTGCGTGGAGCGCAGGGGCTGCCTGCAGCAATCCTGCCGCAGGGTGCCTGGTGCTGTGCCACAGGCTGTCCGCGCCCTGCAGCAGCTTGCACCGAGGTTATGGGCTAGCGGGGAGGGGGAGGCAGAGGGCTGGTTTCCATGTAAAACGAGCAATCAAGGGCAGGAATTTGCTGACGCTGCACTCTGCCTGAATCGCTGGATTAATCACAGCTCACGGCTGCGAGCTCCCCAGCCACGTTCCTCCAGCAGCCTGTGCTGCGTCCGTCCTGGGTAGGGGCTGAACTGAGCCTGAATTCCAGAGCCCAGGTAACCCCTGCAGTGCCTGCCCACACGAGCTGGGCGTTCAGGGAGGTGAACTCTGCTCTGTAGTGTCATCAGAAAGCAGTACGGATCCCTCTGTGTGTGCAAACCCCACTGTGCTTTCTGGGACGCTGAGCTCCGCAGGTTGCGGGCTGGTTTAGGGACCAGGGCTCCCTGCAGTCTCTGCATAGCATTTGTGTGGCTGTGGCCTGGCAGCAGGGGTCGGGGACCAGGCTCTCTCTGCCTGCAGATGCTGCTGTTAGGAGCGATGTTATTGTCTGTGCTCTGGCCCCAGCTCTGCTGAGAACTGTCTGCTGAGTGGGGTCTGACCTCTTCCCTTTCTCCCCAGGGTCTCCTCTCCCTGACCTTCAGGAGCAGTTCAGCCCTCCAGAGGTTGCACCTCCACTGCTGGTGAAGCTGGTGGAAGCCATTGAGAAGAAAGGTAACGGGGGCCATTGAGTACCAAGGGGCTGACACCCTCCAGAGCCCCAGTGAGAGTGGAACAAAGGCAGCTGTTTATAAAAGCTGTTAGTGTTGGACAGAACACAGATATGTGATACACAGCTGCCTGTGGGAGGGGAGCCTCCCAATCCTCTCTGGCTTCAGGTGCTGGTCCCCAGCCTTAACCCTGCTGCGTTGTCCAGCTCCAAACAGCACAGAGCTCGTGCTGCAGTGCTTGGAGTGCAGCAGGGTGCTGAAGTGCCCTGGATGCTGGGCAGGCTCTGCAGGGTGCACCCAAATCCCCGCTGTGGGGGTGCTGAACAGGGGCTTGGAGGGTGTCCCAAGGATCGAGGGGGGCTGTGGCAGCATCTGCAGGAGGGCTGCGTGAGCTGCCTGCCTCGAGTCGTGCTGCAGCCACCGTCCTACCAGGCTGGCTCCAGAACGGTGCGTGTGCTGGGACTTGCACAGCTTGCAGCTAACAGCGGCGTCCTCACTCCTGCAGGGTTAGACAGCGAGATGTTATACAGGACATCTGGCTCCGAACTGAGGCAAGCTCTAAGAACCGGTAAGAACCAGCTCTTCATGGTGAGGAGGCGAATCGGCTCAGATGGAGGAGATTAGTGGATGTGACAGCACCAGCAGTAATGCAATCCAGGCCGGGCTCGCCTGTCCCTGGCGGTTCCTGACTGCCGCACGCTGCCTGCGGGGCTGGGCTGCCCGTCCTGACGCGTCCCCCTGTCACATGCTGGGGTCGGGACGGGGAGCATTCCTGCTGCCCTTGGTGGGCAGGGGTCAGGGCAAAGGGATGCGGCACCAGCTGAGAGACCCGCGGGCCCCCAAGTGAAGCCCCACACTTCTCTCCTGCCGTCTCTTCGGGCTGCCCTGCTCTCAGGGTGCTCTGACGACAGCCTTGCGGAGGTTTCTCTGGCTCTGTCACACTGCTAATAAGCAGGAGAGGATCACAGAGCTCAGCTTGGTGGTGGAGCTGTGGCTCCGCTGTGCCTGCAGCTGATGGTCTGTGCCAGCAAGCCCTGGGAGCTGTCTGCCTCTCGGCTGAGCCTGGGCCTCTTCCAGCAGCCTGCTAGCTTGTCCCCTTTCGCAGATGTTCTTCGTGGGCCGGAGCTAGGCAGTGCTCTTGGCTCTGGCCGTGCTGCTTTCTGAAGAGGCTCTCTGTGCAGTCCCAGCAGCCTGTGCCTGGTGTTTCTGGGGCAGCACGCTTCAAGGGAGACATTTTCCCTGTTGGGTTTGGTGTGTGAACAATTGGCTGATCCCCTCTTCATGCTTGTCTCTAACAATAGCAGGGAGTAAAACTCAGGCAAGTCATATGTGCCCTTGGCAGGGCTCAGCAAAAGGTGTGGGCACCCAAATCCACTAACACCCCCTCCCAGTGGAGCCTGTGCCAGCTTACTTCAGGGAGATGGGCGCTTCCAGGCAGCTTCAGTCTTCTGGTCTGCTTGACTGCCCAGGAGCTGCCAGAGCTCTCAGAGTGCCCACCTGCCATGTCCTGTGATTGCTGGCAGCAGCCAGAGATTTTCTAGCTCTTTCTAGGTGCCCCCATTGCTCGCTGTACTCCTGCTGCAGTGGGACACAACGCTCTGGGGTGGGTGCCAGATCTGCACCCCTCTCCCATGGCAAATCTCTGCCTTGGCAGATTGGAGCCTGGGTGACCTGGAGCCCTTTGACGTGCACTCCCTGGGCGAAGCGCTGCGAGGCTACCTGCAGGACCTGCCCTCCCCTGTGGTGCCAGTGTCTGTGCATGGGGACATCCTTCGCATCCTGCAGGGTAAGGGCTTCCCCGGCCACACTTGGGAATGGGTGCGTGGGTGAACGGATGCGTTTGGGGTAATAAAATAGGTCTTGTCCCTCTGGGGTTTGTCACGTGGCCTCTGCTGCTGACAGTGCTCCCACGCTGTGACAGCCAGAGCGTGGAAAGCAGTGCTGGCTGCCCAGCCATTCCATCGTGTCTTGCTTCTCTCCCCAGAGATCCCTCAGTCAGAGAATTGCCGGAAACAGCTGCTGCTGGCCTTGGAGTCGCCTGCAATCCCACTCCAGAACACACTCACCCTACAGTTCCTGCTCCGGCATCTGGGGAAGGTATCGCAGCAGGCCGAGAGCAACAGCCTCCACCCTCAGGCCCTGGGAGAGATCTTTGGCCCCCTTCTCCTCCGGCTGCCCGGCGCCAGGTACGTGCAGCTCTCAGATCCCAGCCATGTGCCCGGTGCTGGCCACTGTGCCTGCCAGGACAAGGAGTCCAGGCTGTAACAGTACATCTGCCCGCACCCCGGCCCTGCTGCACGTGGGATTAAACTGCTGGCAGCATACAGAGGTGGGGCCCAAAGCCAGGGCAGAGCCCTTCTGTTATTCTGCACTGCAGCAGCTGTGCTGTGCCAGGATGAACAGCTGACCCTGCTGCCCCATTGCGCAGGGGGCACAGAGGAGTGCCAGGCTCTGCCTTCAATTGCTGATTCGTCCCTCTGTTCCTACAGCCCGGAGCTGAGTCCTGACTTCTCTGTGCTTTTTCTGGAGATGCTTCTGCAGACGAAGGAGTTGGAGCCAGAACAGTTGCCTCCAGGTACCGTCCCGGTAGCTGACTTGCCCCCTCTTTGGGACCCGAGGCATTAGCATTTGTGCTGTGTGGGTGTGGAATCCCTGCCTCCCTGAGCAGATTGCTGAGGGCATTTCTGTAGCCCAGCTGTGCTTGGATGCCTGCTCCAGGCTCTAATCTCTTGCTCCTGGCGGTGTGGTGGCCCAGCAGGGCTTCCCAGGACAGTTACCTCAGGGAGGGGGACTCTGAGCTCCAAGGGATTGCCTCTGGCGAGGGTGTGGAGCTGGGACTTGGGCCAGTCCCGCTTTAACCCTGCTTCAACTCTACTTCTCTTACAGCATTGCCTCCAAAACCACCCAAGCCAAAGCCCAGTGCAGCCAGCCTGGCCAACGGGAACAGTGTGCCCTTGCAGGACGCCGAGTGGTACTGGGGTGACATTTCCCGGTAAGGGGGTGGCTGGCAGCTCCTGCTGTGGATGCCCAGGCTGTCGGGTTATCTAGGGGGGCTCTGGTTGCGCCTCACAGGCTGTGACAATTCTCTGTTCCTCTCAGGGAGGAAGTGAATGAGAAGCTTCGGGACACACCAGACGGTACCTTCCTGGTGCGCGATGCCTCCAGCAAGATCCAGGGGGAGTACACACTCACACTCAGGTAGGGTGCTGGAGCCCTCGGAGAGCCTCTGCTGCCCGGGGTGGAGCTGTCAGCAAGTGTCCCTATGGCTGGTGGAACGTCAGGCAGGCACAAGGGGCACATCCGTGCTGGAGCAGAGCATTGGAGTGGTGATAGGCACCTTCTGCTCCCCTCCCTGCTGCAGGAAAGGAGGCAATAACAAGCTGATCAAGATCTTTCACCGGGAAGGGAAGTATGGCTTCTCAGAACCCCTGACTTTTGGCTCAGTGGTGGAGCTCATCACACATTACAGACATGAGTCGCTTGCCCAGTACAACGCCAAGCTGGACACCAGGCTGCTCTACCCCATCTCCAAGTACCAGCAGGTGAGGCCTGAGCTGCAGGAGAAATGGCTGGCCAGCATAGCCAGAGTCAGAGCATCTGTTTGCTCATCCGTCCCTGGCCCTTCAGTAGATGGGCTCCGTGGTCCAGACCGTGTCCTGCAGCATCTCTTTGCTGTGCTGGACATTGCTTTGTGGGGTAGTGGGCACCCTGCAGGGGGGGTGGGGTTTCACAGGGCCGACTGCCTTACAGAGGGGCTGCTGTAGGGTGGGAGCGAGTCCTGACTTGAGGCTTTGTGTATGGCAGGACCAAGTGGTAAAGGAGGACAGTGTGGAAGCTGTAGGGGAACAGCTGAAGGTCTATCACCAGCAGTACCAGGACAAGAGCTGGGAGTATGATCTGCTGTATGAGGAGTACACCCGCACTTCCCAGGTACGTGGCCCCATGGGCTGCCCCAACGTCACCGATCACTGGCAGCCACGCACTGCACAAAGGAGAGCAGAAGCTGGGCCCCCACTGCCCCGTTTGTCCACTCTGGGTTTGGGGGGACTCCCCAGAGAACTTCGAAGTGGGAATGTACTGGCAGGGACGGTGCTGGTTTGGGAAGGGAGGAGGAGGAAGCTCCAGATGGGCAGAAACCTGCCCACGTCCTCCCCCTCACTCAGCTCTCCCTTCTCCTCAACTCAGGAGCTGCAGATGAAGAGGACAGCAATTGAAGCCTTTAACGAAACAATCAAGATCTTTGAGGAGCAGTGTCAGACACAGGAGAAGTGCAGCAAGGAGTACATCGAGCGCTTCCGACGAGAGGGCAACGAGAAGGAGGTGCAGCGGTAAGGACTGAGGGCAGCAGTGACCTGTCCTGCTTGGGGAAGAGCTCTTGGGGCCGGAGGGAACATCCAGGCTCAGGGCAGAGCCGAGGCACGCACAGCCCTTTTCTCCAGCATGCTGCAGGCTGGAGCTGGCAGGCTGCCTCCCTCGCCTCCCCCACGTTGGCTCACAGCCCACCCTTCCTTTCTCCCAGGATCCTCATGAACTCAGAGAAGCTCAAGTCTCGCATCACGGAGATCCACGACAGCAAGATGAAGCTGGAGCAGGACCTGAAGAAACAGGCCTCGGAAAACCGGGAGATTGACAAGCGCATGAACAGCCTCAAGCCAGACCTCATGCAGCTGCGCAAACTGCGGGACCAGTACTTGGTGTATGTAGTGCCTGACCCACAGAGGGCTGGGAGAGAGGCCCCGCTCCCCTGCAGCCCGTCCAGCTGGCTCCTTGAGGGCTTTGGGGTTTGCCAGACCGGCTCTTAGAGCTGCTGTGTGCAGGAGCGAGGAGCCCTGCAGCCTCTGGGCATGGCAGCTCCTCAAAGGGGGAGGCTGCTGCCCTCTGGCGATGGCTGCTGGGTGAGGGCTGTGTGGCCTGGGCACGCTGCCTGCTGAGCTCTGCTGCTTCTTCCCTAGGTGGCTGACGCAGAAGGGCGCCCGGCAGAAGAAAATCAACGAGTGGCTGGGTATCAAGAACGAGACGGAGGAGTGAGTGTCCCTGCTCGTGTGTTGGGGGCTGTAGGAGCGCGGCTGGTGCAGCCAGTTCTGCCTGTTTGGGGGCCTTGGGCAAGTCCCATCTCCCTGTCTGGGAGCTGAGGCCGCCTTCCGTGCCAGGAGTGATGGCAGCTGGCTGGGGGAGGGAGGACGTGGGGGCCACACGTCCAAACTGAAGGGTCCTGACCCCGACTGTGCTCAATTGCAGTCAGTACTCCATGATGGATGACGAGGAGGAGCTGCCCCACCACGAGGAGCGGACGTGGTACGTGGGGAAGATCAACCGCTTGCAGGCAGAGGAGATGCTGTGCGGCAAACGGGACGGCACCTTCCTGATCCGTGAGAGCAGCCAGAAGGGGTGCTATGCCTGCTCCGTGGTGTGAGTACCCCACAGTGCTGCGTGGGGAGCACGGGATGGGGAGGTGTTGGCTGTGCTCCCGTGCTGCTCTGCCCTTCTCTTGCCAGATGCTGGCGCTGGTGGAGGCATCAGCTGGCAGGCTGGGCTTCTCCAGAGTCTCCTGCCTGCCTTGGCTCCTCATGCCAGGGCCAGATGTGTCTTTGGGCAGCTCCGGTGGTGCCACCTTGCTCTGCTCTTGCTGTCCTAGCAGTGCTCCTTCGCATGCCGCTAACCCGCGTTCCTTCTCTCCCTGGCAGGGTGGATGGTGACACCAAGCACTGCGTGATCTACAAGACAGCGACTGGCTATGGGTTTGCAGAGCCCTACAACCTGTACGCCTCCCTCAAGGACCTGGTCTTGCACTACAAGCACACGTCCCTGGTGCAGCACAATGACTCCCTGAATGTCACGCTGGCTCACCCGGTCCTTTCCCAGCCACCAGCCAGATGAACAAACCGTGCACAACACAACAGCTGCCTTCAGCTTCTCCCCAGAGCGCTGCTTTCTGGCTCTGGACTCTTGCACCCTGTATAGTTGAGTCTCTGTGCTCCTGCCCCTCCAGAGCATCTGAGATGTCTGTGACCGTTCCCGGTGTCCCTTTTGGTCAGTAGCTGAAACCCGTGTTGGCTGATGGGACAAAAAGGCTGGAATGTCGACTCGCAGCAGCCTCCAGCCCTTACGAGGTGGGATCTAGTTGTGATTGAATTGCTGTGGATGAACGCAGCCCCCTCCCCTTCCCCAACAAACAGGTCAGATCACCTTTTTGCTGGCAGGTTGCCCCGCTATGCATCACCGTAGAGCTAGATCCCAATTCCTCTGCACTGTGGTGTCATTCCCTGCCCAGCTGAGCAGCACTGGCACATTCTGAGCGAGGGGATCTGCTGGATCCTGGAGGAGGAGGAGGAGCCTCCGCTGAGCATGCATCCTCCACTCTCACTTCCCTCTTCCCTCGGTGACTTTGCAGGTGGGGGTGGGAGCTGCTGTGTGGTACGAGGGGTGCTGCTCTTCTGTGCAGAGACTCATTTCAAAAGGAAGGCGGTGTCCTCCGTGGGGCAGCGGGTGTGCTGGGAGGAGGGCTTCTTGGCGAGGTCCCCACGCCATCCTGTGCCCCATCTCGCTGTCTTGTTCCCTGGTGTCATAGCCACCTCTGTAGTGTTGCTGTCTGGGGAGGGAGGATGTGGTTTGTGACGAATCTCTCACCTTAGTTGTGCCAACTAAGCTGTGAAGTCCGTGTTGGTACCCGTGTTTTTCCCGGCAGAATCCGTGGGATGCACAGCTCTTTGTTTCTGGTTGTCTTTGGTGAATCTCTGCGAGTGTAACCCGTTGAAGCTGACTGTAGCTCTGTAAATACGGTTCTTTTTGTCATTGGCTGCTTACCTCATCCTGCTGAGCTCCCACTACGACATGCAAGCGCGTGGCAGCGGCTGGGCGGCTGCTGCAGCTCGGGGCAGGAGGGCTGGGAGGCTGACGCACACTACGAGCCCTGCACAAAATGAAGGACCTCTGCTGCAGGAGGGCAGCGTTTCAGCTGGGCCTGGGGCCTTGGCACGTAGGGATGTTTGTGCACCACAGCCAGCTGTGTATGCAAAGCACTTCTGTTTGTGAGTACTGTGTGGGGATGGTTGTAGGGCTGCCCGTTGCGGCTGGCTGGCACAGGCAGTGCTTGGGGCATCTCTTTGGAAAAGGCTGAGTTCAGAGGGCTCCAGGGCAGCAGAGGAGGTGCGGGGTGGGCCCTGCGGGGTCTTTAACAGCGCTCTGAGTTGGTGGCTTTTGCTTTACTGTATCACCCTGTCTGCCCGGCTTGAAAGCATTGATCGTCCTCTTGATCTGCCTGAGAGGCTCCTTCCCTTGCAGAGGCCGCGTCCTCAGGACAGGCTGGTGGATGCTGGAGGCTTTGCTGCTTCTGCTTGGTGTCACGATGGGCTGCGGGTCCTCAGTGCTGCAGTGCATTTGTGTGTGCTCTGCCTGCGTCCCATCCTCCTGTCTGTGCACTGCCTGCATTGGGGCACGCAGCATTCCCATGATCAGCTCTGCTGCTCGCATTGATCCAGGCCGCTCCTGGATCCTTCTTGGATCTGGGATTGCTGGTAGAAATGTTATGTTCCTGTTGCTTGTGGCAGCTCTCCTACCCCAGCTGTACAGACACTGTCACTGTTTGGTGCTATCGCTCGGGGGGGTCACACAGCGATCAGTGATAATTAATAATTAACAATTAAGGGAACGGTTTGGGCTGGAACACGAGAGCTCAGCTGAGCAGTAGGGCTGGCAGCCCCGGTGCTCAGAGCCCTCCTGTGTAAAAATTATTGGAGGTGATTTATTGAGAGTCACTCGCGCTCCATCGACAAGGAAAAAAAAACAATATAAAAATGTCCTAAGAGTGGAGGAATTTTAGGGAGAATTACCACTGCAGGCCCAACCTGAAGCAAGAGGACGACACTGCTGTCTTCTGGGCCCAGGCGGTGGCTGAGTCTCTCCCCCATAGGGAGGGATGCACACACTCGGTTGTACCGAGGGCTTCCGTGGGAAACGTTCTTCCATGAGTGAACTGTCTGCAGCCAGCTCAGTTCAGTTCAGCTCAGTTACTCATATTCTTGCTTCTGCTCTGCAGCGTGTTTATCAGCGGCCATCCAAACGGATCCGCAGTCTGCAGCCTCAGCAAACAGCACAGAGTGCAGATCAGTTTGGTAACGGCCTCCCTGAGCACAGCCAGCCTCCCTGTGGGGGCTCTCAGTTCGGCCGGAAGGCTGTGGGTGCATCGCTGTGAGAGCTGGAATTGGGCATCGCTCAGAATCAAAGCCCAGCTGCCCCCCGGCCCCTCTGATAGCAAACCAAGCTGGAACAGCAGGAGCTTCATTTTCTGCTAAACTTATTCACCCTTGACAAGAGACACCGAGCCCTCGTGGGGCTGTGACACCCCAGAGCTTTGTGCCGGGCGCCTGTGCTGTGGGGTGGCAGCAGGGGCAGCTCCTCCAGCCCCTCATCGTCCCCCCAGCGCCGCCTGCTCTTCAGCTGCTCTCAGCGCTTTGCTTGGCCCGGGCTTTGCTGCCCATGGAATTCCAGCTTCCCGTGACGGCGTTTTTTGCCCTCCCAGCCGTATTTCTGCTTCTCCTCACGCCGTCCCTCCCTGCTGTGCAGCCGCAGCCTCTGTGAGCTCAGCAGCAGTCGCGTTGGCCCCGCTGCGTCGTCCAGCCCTGACACGCTGCACCATGGCTGGGGACGCGGCCCCTTGGGGCTCTGCTTGCAGCACTGTGTGGTGAGGAGGACCGGGCCTTTCCCAGGGCTGCCGTTCCTCCAGCCGTGCTCTCAGAAACGCTCCTTTTCCCTTCTTTCCCCTTCAGGTGGAAAACCAAACCCTGAGCTTCGCGCAGCGCAGCTCCCCCGGAATAAGCTAGTTGTGATTTGTCTATGATGCTTTTGCTCGTGCTGTCTGGGTAGTGCCGTGTTTGGAGGCCCTGGGCTGTGCTTTGCTGCTTGTGACCCGCATGTCCCCCCCCCCCCGCCCCACGTTCCCCCGTCCCACGGGCACAACGCGGCCGTTCCGCTCCCGGGGCGCAGCGCAGCCCTGCAGGGGTTGAGCCCAAGGCTCTGCCCGGCTCTGCTCGCTTCGGGTCGGCTCACGTTGCTCTGTGCCCAGCTCAGGACACTCTGAGCCCCCCGCTGTCACCCCCGATGGCGCTCGCATCGCAGGGGGGTGGTGGGGGTGGCAGAGGCACCGCGACTGCTTTGTGCTCAGAGAGGACGTGGCGGCTGTCAGCGCTACCGAGATGTTAGTCCTTAGCTATAGGCAATAATCCGTACTCTAACTCGCCACTTCAGCTGTTTGTTACCAGCAGTAGTTCTCTATGCTCTTTCTGTTGATGTTTACTAATGTAAACCCAGTATTTGTTACTGTAAGAGAATTTTTGTACGGTACTTCAAAAAAAAAAAAAAAAAAAAAAAGAAAGAAAGCGGAAAAAAAAACCCCACAAATAAAACAGAGTTAATGAGATCACAGGGCTTTCTTTGGGGTGGCAGCGAGTCCCCAGGGGAACTGAGATGGGAGGGGACTGAACTGGAGCTGAGCCCAAAGGGGCGAGAAGCAGCCTGGCTGCAACCCGCGGCGAAGCACCAACTTCCAACCGGATCCCCGAAGGGCTGGGGGCCGGGCAGGCAGCGGCTGCAGGGCTGGGCGCTCAGAGCGGGGCTGGGCTGCTCCCGGCTGCCGGCAGGTTTCGGTGCTGCTCAGGGCCGCTTTTCTACCCGTCACCTTTTGCAGCCGGTCCGTGCGGGAGGAAGCAGCGACAGCCGTGGGGCTGGGGGTGGCCTTGCCCCAAAACCCAAACGGCAGAGCCGTGCCCCGGAGCCTCCGCCGCCCCATGGCGCGTGCTGTGGGGCATCAAGGATGGCTTGGCGGCATCCACGGCCCCACGTGAGTCGGCGGTGTCGGTGTCACATGAGGAGGCCGGTTGCGCCATGCAGGAAGGGAGTGCGGAGGCGGGTGCAGGCGGGCTTTAAAAGCCCCAGCCGGGACAGGCTCGCCTCTGCGCTGGCTCTCAGCCACCCTGCCGTCCCCATGGCCCCTGCTGTGCCGCTGGCCCTGCTGGCCGTGGGGCTGGGGCTGGGGCTGGCCCTGCCCGGCTGTGATTACCCGACCCACCTCTGGTGCAGCTCACGGGAGATCGCCGTCGCTTGCCAGGTCAGAGCCGCGGGGCCGGTGTTGGTGCCATCTGGGGACGCAGCTGCTGCTGCTGTGCGAGGCTGGGGCGTGCGGGGCTGCAGCTGCACACGGTGCTCACACCTGGTGCTGGTACCCGGTTCGTGCGCTGGCTCTGAGCAGGGATGCTTGGGGTCCCGCATCCAGCGGCACTCCCTGCCACGCACAGGGAAGAGCTGTGCTGCAGTCAGACCCTGTCCCATCCCCGGGCTCCGCTGTCACTTATTTTTCAGCACGAAACAGCTTTGCAGCCCGTTCTGCCATGAATCGCTCTGGATGCTGGCACCGCTAACAGCGGGTCCGGCAGCACTGGATGGGCTGCAGCCCACATGGCGGTGGGTGCTGTGTCCCTGCTCAGGCAGGTCCAGACCCCACTGGCTGTGGTTTTCCCCAGAATACATGGCGGAAGTTCCTGAGGAAAGCCCCAGCACCACACGCACAATCCTGCAGCTGCATCAAACCTCTGCGGTTCTCACTTCCCTCCCCGCGCATGCAAGGCTCCGTCCTGCCCCATCCCAGCAACTTTCCCCCACGCTGTGCAACCGCAGGTGGCTGCAGCCGTACCGTGGCACAGCCCCCAAACCCCAAACCCTTTCACTCGCAGGCAGAGAGCCGCTGTGCCAACCTCTCGCACCCGACAGCTGCTCCCGTGCAGCTGAGTCTGTACTATGAGAGCCTGTGCCCGGCGTGCCGGGGCTTCCTGGTGCAGCAGCTCTTCACCACCTGGCTGCTGCTGCCCACCGATGTCCTGAACATCACTCTGGTGCCGTATGGCAACGCTCAGGTAGGAGCAGCTGCAGCCCTCTGCTGAGTGTGCACCGCCAGCCACGCTCACACCGCTTCATCCTGCAGGAGAAGAACGTCTCTGGGAAGTGGCAGTTCCAGTGTCAGCACGGCTCGGAGGAGTGTTTGGGCAACATGCTGCAAGTGAGCCAGGCTGTCCCTGTGCCCATCCTCATGGGACGGTTTGGGGGATGCTCACCACATCCCCGCATCCCTGCAGGCCTGCCTGATGCACGAGGCCGAGAACTTCACCACCTATTTTCCTGTCATCTTCTGCATGGAGTCGGGCTCCTCCGCCACCAAGAACCTGAAGGCTGTATGACACTGTCTCCCCGTCCCCGCCCCGCGACTGCCCTCCATGATCTTTAAGGTCCCTCCCGGCCTAAAGGCACTCTATGATGCTGTGATCCCAGTGCCTGCAGGTTTACGCCCCGCAGCTGGATGCAGGCCGCATCACCGCCTGTGCGCAGGGGGATCTGGGGGCCGCCCTGATGCACCGCAACGCCCAGCTGACGGACGCTCTCGACCCGCCGCACCAATACGTCCCCTGGGTCGTCATCAACGGGGTAGGGGGGGGCTCAGGGCTCGGAGGGGGGGCCGTGGGGATCCTCCCTGTGACGAGCAGCCCCACATCTCCCCGCAGAAGCACACGGATGAGCTGCAGGCAGAGGCCCAGAGCTCACTGCTGAGGCTGGTGTGCCAGCTGTACCAGGTGGGACGGGGACAGGGATGGGGACGAGACGGAGGGGCCGGCGCCGCCAGGGGGCTCTGGGACGTGCTGTGCTCCCCCCGCCGGGCACTACCGTCAGTGTGTGGCAGGGGGACAAACCTGAGGCCTGCAAGGACACCGAGAGCCCGAAGGCCGGGGCTGTCTGCAGGCGCTGAGGCCGGGTCTGCAGGGCCGGAGTGGATGCAGGCGGCGGGGAGCACCGCGCTGCGAGCGAGGAATAAAGAGAATAATCGTGTAAGGAAACGAAAAGAGCGTCCAGCGTGTTGTGTGGGAACGGCGGGGGGGTCTGCTGAGGGCCGCAGCACAGCCCTGCGCCATGGCGCTGCCCTGCGCAGCACTTCTGCCTCGGTACCTGTCATGGCGGCCACCGGAAGCGGAAGTGACGCATCACGTGACGTCATCCCTTCTTCCGCAGGCGGCGGTGGTGAGGGGGGCGGGG